AAAAGTTATTGTAATATAGTTCTGTTGTTAATTTTCACTACTCATTCTGTCAACTCAATAAAATGATTTTGACAGAATAAATAACTAAAGATAATAGAAGTACCATATTAAAATATTTTTAATACATTGAAGGAACAATGTAAAAAATCTCATTTTTGAGAGTATAAAATAAAAAAAACTTAAATCTTTCATATTCTCCCAAGTAAAATGAAAAGTTTCTAGACAAGGAAAAATATTTTCAAATCAATGTAGGATCTATTTTTCTTCCATGAAGTGTGGGCTGGTTGGCAAAGGTTGCAACCCATGGGCCGTTTTTTAGGCCTAGGGTCCATCGAGTTGCATGAGAGAACGTCGACATTAAATAGTAACGAAAATTTGTATCCTAGTCCACCCCTAGGCCAAATAGTATCATCTAACCTTTTTTTATGGAAGAGTTAGACATTCAGTCGGGTCGGGTATAAAATTATGGGGCCAAACCATGGCTCGGTTGAAGATTCAGTATTTTTTTTATATATATTTCTTTGTCGTTGAATTTATGGACTCGATTTTCTTTGTCCCTTGAGTTTTCACATTATTTCCTAAATTATTTAAATTATTTTACATTACACCAAATACAAATGATTGCCTTCTTTTTGATAGGAATTGTTAAGTTTTGGGATAAAGTAAAAAAAATCACATTTTTCTGAAAAAAAAAAGTAAAACAATTTTTCTTAAATTTATAATGAATGTTAATCGTTGAGACGGTGTTAAACTAATCACATGATTAAGTGTATGATGTAAAATAAATGATTTTATGGGACAATATTTAAAAAGAGTCATAGTAAATGGGACAAATATATAATTTACCCTTGTTATAGTCACACATCGTTTATAATTTATACCAATTCATCACAGTAAAGTTGTCATCTAAATTTCAACATTAAACTAGAGAGGGCACACTATAATATTTTAAATTCGGAGGGTAACCTCCTCAAATCGGTGCAAATAGTGAGGCCGTTATTGTAATTATCTCCTCCTTCTCGAGGTTAGTGTTGGCCCCATATAATCCACTAAGCAATCGCATTCTAGGGTTTTGTGAGCCAAAGAACAGGAAGAGGATACAGGCCTGTAGCTGTACCTCGGCGCCTTTCCTCCTCCTCCTCATCAGCTCTCCTCTTCTCTCTCTCTCTTTCTCTACGGATAGTGCTCGCATCTCTCTTTACAGATCATACGATGCAGTCCGATGAAGGTGCCACGTCCATGGAACTTGAGAAAGTTCTATCTGAATCAAATCGTGTATCTTTTGCTTCAAAACCAAACTTTGCACCTTTGAAGGCTCACGAGATATCCGATGGTCAAGTTCAGTTCAGGAAAGTCTCTATACCACCGCATCGATATACGCCTCCCAAGAAAAGCGTGGATGGAAATTTACACTCCTATATACGAGCAGATGAAAATCGACATTCGTATGAATCTCAAGGCTCGCAAGGTTGAATTGAAGACCAGATCAGACACACCCGACATCAGTAACCTCCAAACATGTGTGTTTTGTGCACGCTTTCATGCTTGGATTCGACGTGATTGACGTCGTTGCAATTCTCCTCATGGACGAACTCTATGTGGAGTCTTTTGAGATCAAAGATGTGAAAACCCTTCGAGGCGAGCACTTGTCTCGTGCCATTGGAAGATTATCTAGTAAAGGGGGTAAAACTAAGTTTGCAATTAAGAACTCTACGAAGACTCGGATTGTGATTGCAGACACCAAAATTCATATACTGGGTTCTTTTGCCAACGTCAAAATTGCAAGAGATTCTCTCTGTAGCCTTATCATGGGGTCCCCTGCTGGCAAGGTTTATTTGAAACTTAGAGCAGTTTCTGTCAGATTGGCAGAGAGATTTTGACAATGTTGAGCATTATACTATTTGATTGTACCTTGAGCTGAATTTTCTGCTGAAAAATACTGTTTTAAGAGGTAAAATTGCAGTGGTTATGCTTGTTCTCATGTGTTTGTCCAGTGAATGGTCTAATTTGCAGTTTGAAACTTACCTATATGGCAAGACTAATGTCATGCCTATAAAAATATTTATCAAAAGATATTTTTACTAAATGAGTTCACACCTTCATTTCACTCTTGAACCCCACCAACTCATTTGGTAAAAGTACTTTTTGGTATGAATTGCATTTTTCATATGCAATTATAGGTGCCTGCTGGATTTTTGCCTGTAACTCCTTGCTAATTACTCTTTCACAAGGGTGGGATCTCCAAAAGCTAGACATTAGTTTCATAATTTGTTATGGCATTTCATTGGAATGCTTTTGAGACTATTTGTTATCAACTTAGGCATCTATTACTTGGGAGCGAGGTAGTGATTGTCCTTAGATTGATTTCTTATTAAAAAAAAAAAGCAAAATTTACTGCTAGTCCTAGAATTTGCACAGTATGGGGGTAAACCAATAGTCCACCTTTTTCTTATGAAAGAGATTCACAAATTGAGACATGGATTAAAAAAGAAAAAAAAACAAGTATCCATTAAAAAGGGGAAAAAAAGAAGGGAAAATAGAAGAAAAGAAGGTCCTAGATTTTGATGAGTCAAGTAGAGTGAACATGTTCAAATGGCATTATCGAATCCATCAAACTAGAACCCTGTATACAAGTTTACCAGAAGCGTTCCAATGTCTATAACATAAAGTATCAATCTTGGTCAGGTAAAGCCTCAACTGTAGAATTTATGCCATTTCCAATATGCGAAATAATTTCAAAAAGTAGGCACTCTAGTCTAGGGCCATATAAACCTACTCTCTAAACCCAAAAAGCAAAGAGCTTTTGTAGTTGTACTAAATTGACAAACCAAAAAGATGATATATTTTCCAAACTCACACACCTAGATGAAGCAATTAATTCAAAACAAGCACTAAAAAGATGATAAGTTTCCATCAAATTCAATCTGGATTTTATCTCAATCTTTTCACAGGTGATCATGCTTAGCTTCAAATTAAAAAACCCAGATTTGTGTGTTGGACTTTGATTAAATATCAGGCTAAGGTCTCAGCTTTACTTTCTTTTTTGTTTCATACGTTCTTGATATGGATTTAACATAACTATGTTAACTAATGGATATTCTCTACATCAAAAACTGAGTTAAATACTCTTATGAATCTAATGTTTTGCGAGAGTTTGGGATGAATTTCAATTTGCATTTGGTTGGTATTTGATTTTTGTGACTAATATAATATCCATCTTCTAGATCTAATATTAGATGTCATTTTTTTTAGTCTTGATTCTATGAAATGTATCACTATTTCTATTTTTAAATATTATGATGTACTAAATATTCTAAAACATATTGGATTGAATAGTTGGAGGTAGTTTTAGGTGGTTTGATTGATTGACTATATTTTATGTTATATACCGTCTTCAAGCTTGCTTGTAATTTTTTTGTTTGTTAAATAGTATCTTCAGACACAAACAATTACTAGTTTATATAATAAAATAGAACAAGTTTTGAATTCAAAGACAAAAAAATGACTAAGCTCGTTTTATGATAAAAAAATATATATATCATCCGACGGACGATACTATTTCGATTTGTCTCAAACTATTAGGACCTGTTTGGTATGTGGGACAAAGAGGGATTGGAAGATGGGTTGAGGAATAAAAGTCCACAAAGCCCAACAAACCCATGTTTGACATCTACATTTGTAACCCAATTTACTAAACCCAGCCCACAATTTAAACCCAAATTCATGGGTTTCATGAAACCTAGTGGGGGGTGGGTTTCATATGGGGCTTAATGGGTTTAATATACAAAATGACATTTATACCCCCATAAAACCTATGTACCTAAACAAACATGAATTTGGATTAAATTAGTTAAGGAGCACAATAGTGATTTATATACAAATATATTATCATAATAGTTATATATCCATGCGCATACTAAACATGGATATGGACTGCATTGAATGTTGAATCTCATCTCTGGGATTGGAAGGGTTTGGATAAATCAATCCAAACCCAAAAAACCAACCAAACTGCCCTTTAATATCTAAGATTATCTCAAAATTTATTGTTTCTACGCACCAAAATGAATTCCTAAAATTTTATATCGCCCAAAAAACTTTGGGGTTGTTTGTTTGCTGTTTTATATTTTTGTTTTGAGTTTTTGTAAAAAAAAAAAAAAAAATGTGTTTGGTAATTATTTTTGTTTTTGTTTCATCTACGTTGTCTTGGAAACAAGCTAAAAAAATGGGAATAAAAAACTAATGTTTTGGGAAACAACCCAAAACTGAAACACGCGAATTTTGACTCAAAATTTTTTAGGGAGAATTACACTCAAACCGCTGAGGTTTGTCATTTAATCATTCAAACCCTCTAAAATTTAAAATATTACACACAAACCCCTTAAGGTTTGTACACGCGTAATATTTAGACCCCTGCCGTCAAATGTCTGTTAGTATATCTGTTAATAAATTAAATTCAGACCCCTTAAAGTTTGTAAGTATATAATATTTACATCCCTTAAGTTTAAAATGATATAATTAGACAAAAAATATCTCAATCAAATATAGAATATAAAATATTTTAAATTTTATAACCAAAATTCATTATCTATTGTATCATTTATTGAAATAAAATTAAAAATAAAAGTCAAATTTTTTTCAAAAAATAATAATTAGTATACAATTATACTATCTATTGAAACAAAACTAAAAAAATCAAGCATGAGATTTAAGTCATTCATAACATAACATGAATTTTACAAACCAAAATTCATATTTTATTATGTCATTTATTGAAATAAAATCAAAAATAAAAATTATTTTTTTTCTTAAAAAATTCATAATTAATATATAATTATAATATCTATTGAAATAAAACTAAAAAATCAAATTAGAGGTTAAACTATAATGAACACAATATATTTTAATTTTACTTGGGATAATTTGGTCGTTTAAATGACCAAATGGTCTGCGCCTTTATGTATCAGGTATTAGTAGGCTCTGCCCCAAGAATCATAGACCGAAAACCTGGAGGAGAAGGCAACAGGCAACGGATGGAGTATTCAGAGAGGTTTTAATTCACATTCATTCAACTGAACAAACGCGAGTTATTAAGTAAGATAAGACTATCAAACTATAATGAACATAATATATTTTAGTTTTAATTGGAGTAATTTGGTCATTTAAATGACTAAATTAAATTCCAATAGATAGTATGATTATATATTAATTATGATTTTTTTTTTAAAATAGATTTTTATTTTTTATTTTATTTCAATAAATTTAATAATAGAATATGAATTTTAGTTGTAAAATTTAAAATATTTGATATTCTATTTTTAATTGTAGTATTTTTGATCTAAGTATAATATTTCAAACTTGAGGGGTCTAAGTATTACACGCTATAAACTTAAAGGGTTATGGATGTAATTTATTAATGGATTTATTAACACATTGACGACATGGGTTTAAGTGTAAGTCGCATACAAATCTCAGGGGGTTGTGTATAACATTTCAAATATCAGAGGATCTAAGTGATTAAATGACAAATCTCAAGAAGTCTGAGTATAATTCTCCCAAATTTTTAATGAGGTCTCGAACCTTGTTAACAACAACATTGGATTATTTTTTTAGGGCTAATCTTAATTTGTATATTGAAAGATTACTTGAATCTCAATTTGTACTCTCAAAATTTAAAAATATCAATTTACACCTTAAAGACATAAATTCGTATCAATGTGCACCTCAGATTAACTGTCATTCATTTTGTCGTTAAAAAAGTTTGGATTAATTATAAATTGCAGCCTTAAAACTCAAAATTTTCATATTTATGATCCAAAAATAGTATTTCTTTCATTAATACTCGTTAATTAGCTCTCAATTGTATTGTACCATAACATTTTGTGTCATGTTCGAATCAATAAAAAAAATTTTAAAAAATTATAAAATACATATTTTTTGCTTATTATACTTGTTAAATAGTTTTTGTCTACAATTAAACACAAATTTTCTGTTCGATCAAATTAAAGTTAGATTTGAATAACACAAGTGTAGAAAAAAAATAGCTATTTAATGAGCATTGTAGGTAAAAAAATAAGTATTTTTTGTAATTTAAAAAAAATATTAAATAGTATTATATAAATTGTCGTAAATGTGAAATATACGACATAATGCAATTGACTCGATATGAAAATATTTTGTGTTAAAATTTTTTTTTTATCGACTTGAACACAACACGAAAATGATATGACATGATACAAAATAACGTGATACGACACAATTGAGAGGTATTTAACAAGTATTAATAGATAAATTCTTTTTTAATCATAAATGTGAAATATTTAAACTTTAAAGGTGTAGTTTGTAATTATTCCAAACTTTTTTAACGGCAAAATGGATGGTAGCCAACCCCTGGTGCACATTAACATAAATTTATGTCTTTTAGGGTATAAATTGATATTTTTAAACTTTGAGGGTATAAATTAAAATTCGAATGATCTTTTAGGGTGTAAGTTGAAATTAGCCCTTTTTTGTTATGTAGGTATAAATTGTGGGTTTTTGTTGTCTCGCTCTGGTCTCACACACACGCACACACATCTCTCATCTCTCTGTTTTGGACGATGAAAACTGCCAAAGAACAAACACACTCGAAAAAGGCAATGAAGCTTTGCTCCTCGATGCTTTGAACCCAGAACCCGAAGAAGTCATCTATGCAGAAATTCCATCAATCTTTTTGTCTCTCGCTGTGCACTATAGGGTAAACACTTTTAGATCTATGTATATATATATATATATATATCATTGAATAGGTCCCCATATCTTTTTTTTTTTTTTTTTTCCTAAACAATTCTGTGTCATTTTATGTGTTATGTATCGATGTGTGTGAGTTTGTGTGTGCTGATCTGTTGAGCGTGTGCTATGTGTTGAATGTGTGATATGTTTAATGACTTATTTAATATAATTATTTTATTTTATGTGTTATTTGATGAATTAACGAATGTTTTGAGATAATAAATTTTAATTTGTATTTTATTGTACGTGATATTATAAATATTGATTTGTATTTGAATAACTTGGACCGGTTAATTAAATATATTTTTTTATTTTGTTTTCGTAAAAAGATAAAAATAAATAACTTTCAAACATATTTTTATTTTTATTATTTATCATCAAATAAAATAAAAATTATTTCTATTTTTTTTAAAAAAAATACTAAAATAATATCATTACCAAACCACCGGTCTAATTTCTATGTTTTTTTTTTTGGGTAAGGAATTTTTTTTTTGTTTTTAAGTAAAAACTTTCCATTTTATACTCTTTTATCTCTCCTCCCCTATCTCTCGAAAATTGACACCCAAATCCCTCTCTCCATTAACGATTTCAAATCCTGTGGCCTAAACTCCTCTCCATAATTCACGCCTATTCACTTCCTCTCTTGCGCTTTCTCTCCCTCTCTTCTGTTATTGACTAACTGCACCAGATCCACTACCAATAGCAGCGATGGCGAACCCACCGCTACTAGCACACTACTGTCTGTTAGGTCTCTATTTGCTTTCCCCACACTAACACCCACCGTTTGAAGCCTCTCTCTCTCTCTCTCTCACATGGGCTCTCACGAGCGACCAAATCAATGGTGTAGAGACCACATCGAGCAATAGCGACTAGATTCATGGCAATAGAGACCACATCCTTCGGTGACAGAGACTAGATCTCCGACCACATGCTCCGACAATACTAAACAAAGCAAAGCTTTGATATACTTGTGTGAAATTGGTTAATTTAATGGATCAATTTTCTGTAGTCTTCTTTTCCTTCTCTTCGGTATTTATAAGAAATAACTGTTACTCATGTCATACTTTCTGAGCATAGCTATAATTATGACTTTTTCTATGGAGATACGTAGACATGTTGAACCGTTTCTAATTAACATGTCTTCAAATGGTGTCTCATAATGTCAATTTTTTTTTTTTCGAATTCTTAGATTTTCACCTGTTTAATCAGTCTATTAAATTTGAACTCTCACTGAATTTTTTATTTTATGTGGAGTCAAATTCGTGTGTATCCATTTTAATGGATAAAATTGACATTTGGACTTCCAACTAATTCGGAGAATTGGGACAAAAAGTGGTTTATTTGCATTAAAGTTTTCGTGGGGACAATTTCGTCATTTCGTTCCTAATAGCCCTGATGGCCGCCTAGCTCATCTACATATACGAGCACAGGTCTCTGTGTACGAATAGATTTTCCTAGTTGGCGCCCAGAAAGCCAGTGAGTGAGAAGACGACGAGACGGACACCTCTCCTTCTTCACTCCCGAACTCTCCTCCTTCTTCCCCAAATCCGGCCATTACTAGTTACTGTCCTGTAATTTAAAAACCCTAGATAGATCCCAGTGTCCCAATCTGGTGTTCCCTGATTGATTCATTCTGTATTGCCCTAGACCCACTCTTCTCTCACTCTTAAATTCAGATTACCATATAAATTAGATTCTCAAATTGATTGATTTAAATCCTGTGTACCAGTACAGGAAAAGTTTATTTTTTGCCAATTCCTACGACGCTGATCGCCGGAAATGACTGACGGGCAGGTGATAAAGCGTGCAAGGTATAAATCGTCAGTCAAGGACTTTGGAGTTCCTAGTGTTCTGAAAATGGTAATTTTTTTTGATAATTGAGCAAAGTTTCTACATGTGTAAATGCTTCATTGTTTGCTAATTTATTGTTGTTACTGCGTGCAGACTCGGGAGAGGTTTTTTTTTATGCCAAATGATCCGAAATCATCTGCAAGGCTTAATGTAGAGTTTAGATTGGTTAAAGGTACTTTGTTTGTTAATGCACTTGATCCTTTAGGAGAGTTTTCAATTGTTAGTTGCAAGATGATGCAATGTTACAGTCTATGAGTTTTTTTTTTTTTTTTTTTGCTGGAAGTGCTGGATGGTTAGGATGAGATGTAAGTAGTGCCAAAAGAGTGGTCTTTGATTGCCATTTTGCGGTTTATAAATGAAAACGGGAAAATTGTTGCGAAAATACCTATGCGCCTTGTCATACTGTTCGTCAGGATTGCTTTGGATGTAGGAAGCTGAGTGTTCCTTTAATTAATCCATCTTATTGTCCATTTTGTTTAGCACACATCTTATTATTTTGTGACAAAGTTGTTAATGTGTTTCTATCTGTCTTTGTTGTGAGTTTTCAGGTCACAAATTTACCAAGGAGGGTTCCAACAAACAGGCCCTGCTTAATCTCACAGTGGATCAGGTTTCTCCTCTGCTATATTACCTTCTAGACAGTTCTTTTAGGAATCCTTTAAATTTGTTCAGTTGCTGAATCTTATGGCAGTTAGGTTGAACTCCATCTATGAGTGTTCGTTACATGATATTGCACAATACTTTTCATGATATATTGATATTTTTTTGTGTCTAACTAAGCATATTTACTGTTGCTTCAATTATAGTGACTTAAACTTGAAAATCTTATTTGTGTCCAGGGAGGAAATTACATTTTTGAATTTGACACTTTTTCTGATCGTGATGCTTGTCGTGAATATGTTGGTAAGTCTCTCTTATTAACTATAATTAAGTACGTAGTTGGACATCATCTAGAGTGTTTGGAATAATCAACCTCAATATACTGTCTTGATTTGATAAAGTTCTTATAGAATTGGGTAGCTTATATTGGATGAAATTGTTCACATGAAGATTTTGTATCTGTTAACTTGCAAACAGCAACAGCTATTGCAGTATCCGGAGAAGCTGGAAGAGCTGGTTCTGAGAGATCAGCTGCTCCACTTCAAGATGAACAACTTAGCCATGCAGAGATGGAGCGTCGGATTAGACTACTGCAGGAGGATAGGTAAACTCACTTCCGGTTATCTTGACAAAAATTGTTTGTTCCACGGCAAATTATTGTTCAACTTATGCACTTTGTGACTACAAGAATCTTGTTGTTCGCTTTTATCAGTTACTTACTTTTGCATAAACATATTATTCTGAAACTATATGCCAGGTGGATTTCAAGGTTGTATCATTGTGCAAGTTACTACAAATTATGTAATGTCTGAATTCCTATGGATCTGTTGGCATACTCTTGTGAAATATGAACAGAACTTTTGATAAAATGTCCAGTTTCATTGTATCATTGGCTGCTGAATTTAGTATTTCGTCTCTTCACATGTAAGTTTCTCTTTTAGTTGATAAGGTATCATTTGCAGTGAGTTGCAGAAACTTCATAAGCAGTTAGTGATTGGAGGTGTCCTATCAGAGGCTGAATTTTGGGCAACAAGAAATGTTAGCTATTGGTTATTTTTTTTCCAATATGTCAGCTTCTACGAACATGGATTTTAGGATAAGCGAATTGAACTGTGAGCCTATGTGTGTCTACCTGGAGAGATGTGCTCTTTTTATTAGTTAGATATACTCTTGGGAAAGCTGTAACAGAAAAGTTTATTTTACGATAAAGTGCAGAAGTTGCTGGATGAGAATGCCAGCAGAAAGTCAAAACAACAGGTGGGGTTGAGAAATGACATGTTCCATGTCAAACCATCTTCTGATGGTTCGGTATAACATAGATCTCTCTCTCTCTCTCTCTCTCTCGTGAAGTTTGAAACGTATGTTATGAATTCTAAGTTCTGTTTTTTACTTGCAAGATTACTTGAGGTGCATTGTTTACTAAGTAGACTCATTTCTAGTTTTTGTAACTTCTGGCAATTTCTATAATGCTTATTTTCTTTGAATGTTATTTTTTCAGTCTAACAAAGTTACTTTTAATTTGACACCCGAGATTATTCACCAGGTATGGCTTGTTCTTTCTTTTGATTCATCCAGAATTTTGCCTGTTATATTATTTGACATTGCAATTCTTAATCAATAATGGTGCATAGCCACGTTTTCTTTTGGTCAACATTAGTACCGTTGATGAAAGTCTATTCTGGAATGTGCATGTATTTGTCAATTAATTGGATGCATTATAATGTGGTGATACTCGTTTGACAGAGTAGCATTCTAGTTGCCTCACTTTAGTATGATGTGGTGATACTCTTTTGACAGAGTAGCATAGCACTCTACTTGCCTTAGTAAATTGGATGCAGTATTATTTGGTGATACTCTTTTGGCAGAGTAGCACTCTAGCTGCCTCACTTTCTTATGTTTATACATGCTTGGATCTTTGATTGTCTAGCCACAATTTACACATATGCCAAGGTCTATATGGAATGTGTTTGGTGGTTGTTGTTTTGGGGAGTGGGAGCAGGTTGTAAATTATGTATTTATATTGTTTGTTTGCACTGGCAATAACCTTACAACGTACAACGTATGATACTTTTTTCGATATGTGCTATGGTGGGGGTAAACTTAGTTGATATGTTGTTTTGAGTCATAGTTCACTTTGTAATTCTTATTGAGATCGCTTCACCACTGTATAGATTTATATATAAATATACATTCATATACACATGGTTAACTAATATTTATTTCAAAAAGGATAAAAAATCTAAAGCGCATAATCCAAGACACGTGCCAGCTACAACTCAACTCAACATATTGACTATTTGTTGTCAATAATAAAAGTTAGGAGTTGCATATTTGTGTTACGAAAAAAAATTCAAATCACAACATATCAAGATATAAATTTAACAATCATCAAACTAAAGAAATAACCATGGATATATTTTGGGGTTAGAGTTATAATTGGGGATTTGTTGGACCATGGTTTGAGTTACAATTTGGGTCGGTCAATTTGAACAATTTGGCTTGTGAATCCACTCTATTTCTGATCGTACGACCCTGGTATGTGGGACGACGCTAGGGTATCTACGATTTTGATATCTATGTGCTTGATGCCCGAGTAAATATGTAATTAGGGGAGAAAAATAAATTTAAGATTGGCTTAAATATGTGAAAGGCAAATGAAAGCAAATGGAAAATATTACAATATATCTCTTGCTTTTGTTGCCCATTGAAAAGGGAGGAAAGTTGCTTTCGTTGATTCATTGTATTCTTTATTTATTGAGAAACCAAAAGAGAGTTCTAACGGGATAAGCGAAAGGGAAGATGTTGGATTGGATTCAAGTGGATGTTCCAATAAAGGATGGGGAGAGAATGGAGGGGAGGAGAGTTGTTGTCCTAACTGACTTGTGTAAATTTACATCTTGCAGAACTTAATTGTGTTAGCTTTTTGCTCCTCACTATTGGTGACATGGATCAGTCATGCATTTTGAGTAGTATATAAACCGGTGACTTAAGTGTGCTCGGCTTGATACGATAGAAAGTTTTGTACTTTGATGCATATCTGTCTTTGCATGGTTAGTTATTGGTTAGAATTGTTGATAATATCATTGTGACTCAGTAGCCATCTACTTCTTTCTCCCTCTTATTTATTGTTGGATTGACTTTCAGATTTTTGCTGAGAAACCGGCTGTACGCCAGACATTTCTAAATTTTGTTCCAAGCAAGGTTAGAGAATGTGCAACTTTTTTCTCTTTTTTGTGGCAATATTTTTTTTCCTCAAAGATCACCTCCTTTTGTATTTTTCTCATTAACTTTAAGCTAACTTCTACATTGGGGTTATTGTATACATTTTCTGGATTCCAGATGACAGAAAAAGAGTTCTGGACGAAATATTCAAGAGCAGAATACTTACACAGTACGAAAAATGTTGTTGTGGCTGCAGCAGAGGCTGCAGAAGATGATGAGCTGGCTGTTTTCTTGAAGCAAGATGACATGGCAGCAAGTGAAGCTCGGCGGAAAGTGCTCTAGATTAGAAGATTGGGGTTTTGCATTATTTAGGTCCGGTACATTAGACCTATTTTCTGCAATCTTATTGATAGGGCCTGTAAGGATCATCGCTGCAAGTAGTGGGACTTGGTTTTCAGTAATGGTGTATATATGTTCTTTGCAATAGAATGAGCATTTTTGAAAGGGTTGTTTTTATTTAAACACGTCAGTCCATTTGACGTTTTTAAGTGGAATACCCTGACTCTATTTTTTCCTCTTCTTTCCTCCTCCTCCCTTATTTCCCCCGAATTATCTGGTCTGAGCTGAGCCTTAACCCACACTAAATTGCCTTCTTCCCCCAAAACCAGTCATTTGAGCCCCCCTCGAAGAACCACCACCATCGACTGACCACCCACGCCCACCCAGCACCACCCAACGATCGAAGCCCCAAATCCAAGCACTACCATCGAGGACCACCACCACTCATTACACGTTGCAACCCAGTGACCACCAGCGAGGACCACCACCTGCTGCTCGTCCAGCAGAGGTAAGTGTGCTGGTTTTGATTTGAAATTTGTCTGTAGCTTAAGATTGGTAGTTGAAATTCTACAATTGTATAAAATTGTCGATTAAGGCCTTAGTACATCTTTATTTTATTTATTTCATTTAATTTATATGAGGTACATATTTAATTTTTTTCACTTTTTCTCACTCTAACAACGAGGATGATATTTAGATTGGCAAAGGAAAAAAGTTAAACAATGCAATTGCCTAGTCGAAGTCCTATGTTATGTTCTAGTTTAACTATTATATTAGTTTGAAACCTCCAAAACTATGATGTACAATATATAGCAAATCATATACAAAAATCACAAGGGTAAGAAAAAATCACCAGTATGTATGGGATTGTGGATGATGTAATATGTCTGAATGGACCTGTCTAGAGAATAAGGTGGGCTGCTTTTACCAGTGGTATTCTGTGTTGCTTTCATTTTCATGCAACTAAACAAAGTGGTAATCTCTTGTCATGTAGTGAAGGTATTCTCTAGGTATTGTTGATTTTTGAATGCACATGTACATGGCTCTTGTCATGGTTTCTGAAAAAAGAAAACATACCCATATGCCAGATAAATAGAGAAGACACAAAATAGTCTCTTGTTTTGGAAGATCATGCCCTTAATCTAATGTGCACCCACGTGCAGTGAAACTCTACAGTTATGTAGGATCCTGGATTAATTCCTTAGTTGATTGCTCTAGCCAAAACTCTCGGAGTGGTTTGGTTTGGTAGGGAGGTAAAAGATCTTGTTATTGAGTAGATTATTGAGTTGAGTTGATTATTGATTGTGTTATTGAGTTGGGTATTGAGTAATTGGATTAGAATAATTGGTCCATTCCCTGAAGTGTATATATGTATGTTCTAAATTGCCAATGTGATCTTTGTTGGAAATGGTTATCGCCAATGCTGCCTTACAAGCTCTTTGTGCCTGATTTAAGTGCTAGAGAACCCAAGCCAATTAATCATTTTGAATCTCCCATCATTATGTATTCTAAATTCTCCAATAACTGCAATAGGTATCGACCAATCAAAGAGAAGATTATTAATGTCGACCGAAAGATTAAACAAGTCCAATGATAGAATAAGGGAAAGTAGGAGGACCATGCTGGAGACAGAGGACCTTGGTGTTTCACTTCTTCAAGATCTGCACCAATAGCGACAATCTCTGTTACATGCCCATAACACAGGTATATTTGATTTGATATTCCTTGCAGTGATGCTGTCTTAAACCAGACAGAGGACCTTGGTGTTTCACTTCCTCTTTCCTGTTTCAGCTTTCATGGAGAGGATGACAACATGAGCAGGAGTAAAAAAATTTTGACTGCCATGTCAAGAAGGATGAGCAGGAACAAGTGGATTATCGGAGCTGTGATTGTGGTCCTTCTTGTTGCTATCATCTTAATTTTATACTTCAAGCTTTCAAAATAGTCAAGACACTCTTTTCTTGGGTTTGTGTTGCTCTCTGAAGTCACGAGTTTTTGGCTTCTCTTTTTTTGTTGTGCTTGGTTTATTGAAGTCCTGTTGAGTGGATAATCGCATATAATGACTCATATTTCTGTTGTTTTGTGTTGTTTTTTTTTTTTTTTTTTTTTTTGTGTTGTCATTTTTTGCTGTTTCATTATTGAATGAGAATGAGATCAGAATTTCGGAAGACTGAAAATGTTAATATAGATTAAATTGAAACATGTGAATGGAATGGAATTTTTTTTGGTTCTGCCGACAGTAGATGAAGCTTGACTTTGATTTCACTTGTGGCATTTTCTGATGATGTTTTTTTTTTTTTTGAACTTTGATGGTTATGGGTTTTGGTGGAGTCAAAATAGTAACTTCTATTGTGCAGGAGCATCTTGCTCGTCGTCACCATCCCGAGCGATATAAAAAAGATGGAGATTCATGGTATGTGAATGTACAACATTTTAAACCACTGGCGTCTGATGGTACATTAAAAGTATTGAATTTTTTCTCAAGAAAAGGAGCAATTTTCATCAGTCAGGCACCCCTCTAACTTCACTCTTTTTAGAAGGAAAAAGAAGGGACATGATCCACCAACTTACCACCGAGTAATTAGTGTGTAATGGTAGCTGATGTTCATTTTTTTTTAAAATTTGATTTATTAGGTTCTAAATGATCCACAAAAGAGAGCAATCTATGATCAGTATGGTGAAGAAGGGCTACAAGGGCAAGTGCCACCACTAGAAATATTTAATCTGCCATTTATCTTTGGATGAAAAATATTGAAATCTACATGAAAGATTCCTCCCATGTTGATGCCTTCTCTTTCTAATGCAGTATAAGGATGGTGCAAACCACTATACATTAAATGAGGAGCTTAAAGAATGACCACTTTTGTAACACTGCTTTTATTTTTGAAACGATTTAAATTAAATAGATCCACGATTAGATGCTATATTTCTAAATTGGATTCACTCGTTTCTCTTCTTCCATCTTTTTTTTTTAAGAAAGGGAAATCTTATTTGATTGAATCTCAAAAATTACAAGAATCAAGAACAAAAACTGTTTCAACAAGAAAATAGAAAACAGTAAACTGATTAAAAAAATTAGAAAAAATTGCTATAAAACTGTAGTATTTTCTTCTGTACAGCCTGCAGCATCCTCACCTCAACTTCTGGCTCTCAAAACCCCATCCTTTTCAGCCTTGCAGAAAGCATACAGGACTCTGGGAATAAAAATAATCTTCCAATCAGGCAGAATGCCACTAACTGAAAAATCAAGATCAGTCTGCTATACATAGTTGCTGATTTTTTGGCTCCATTCACTGATTTTTCAGTTAGTGGCATTCTGCCTTTGACTGGAAGATTAATTTGACTTGGGTTCTCTAGCACTTGAATCAGGCACAAAGAGCTTGTAAGGCAGCATTGGCAATAACCATTTCCAAGAAAGATCACATTGGCAATTTAGAACATACATATATACACTTCAGGGAGTGGACCAATTACTCTAATCCAATTACTCAATACCCAACTCAATAACACAATCAATAATCAACTCAACTCAATAACACAATCAATAATCAACACAACTCAATAATCAGAACACCTCTTCGTGACATCAGTTACACTCTATACAAAAGATGAAAAATTGCAAAAGAGAACTCTTTCGAAATATTAAAAGGCATAACACCTTCAGTTCAGGAACGACATTGCTCTAATGATGTTCAGCACCCAAGTTAAAAACATTCAATATTGATATTATAACTGGATTCAAAATAAAACTATTATCAATCCAAAAGATACTTGGGTGGATCTAGAAGTAGACCCATCTTTATTTATACTCAAGATTTTCAGTGGACCAACAAATTACCTTTCCTATGTGTTCAAGCCTATGAAAAATTACACTTAAATCTGATGGTTCAAAACCTTTTCTTCACCAATCATTCTAAACCCATTTAACCACTTTTCCTATGAAGAAGAACCAAACTACCAAATTTACAGAGAAATGTTCCTAAAGGAATCACATAAGAAAAAAGATCTATTCAACTTTAATTGATCAATGCAACAAAATGTGCGCACAAATTGAATAAAACCAACTATTGTTCACGCAATATAAGCACAACCAAATCAAGCAACAACCATTCAAGAGATCAAGAAAAGTTGAAAAACATTTACCAGCACAATAGTGGTGATGTCACGAAGAGGCGTTCTCGGGTACCGAGTAGTGCTAGGCAGTGATGGGGCGGCCTTCGAAGGTGGCGGTGCTTCGATGGTTGGGTGGTGCTTGGTGGTTGTGGATGATGATGCGATGGCGGTGCTAGCAGTTGGCTAGGGGGTGTAGATGGTGAGATTTCTATTTCTCTCGCCTGAAAACGTTAGGGCTCAGATGGGGAGGGGGGGAAGAAGGGAAAATAAGGGAAAGAAAGAAGGGGAGGGAAAAAACGATGTTCAACTTAAAAACGTCAGTTGTACTGACATTTTTAAGGTCCTTGAAATGTGCCTGTTCAAGCTTAAAGACGTCATTTGGACTGACGTTTTTAGGCTAAAAACGTCAGACCGACTGTCGTCTTTAGGCTAAAAACGTTAGACCGACTGACGTCTTTAAGCCCAAAAACGTCAAACCAATTGACGTTTTTAAAAGTACTTGAGTTTGAGAATTATTTTCAAACCAATCTTTAATTGAGATATTTTTTTTAAAACCCCATGGGATGGTTCAAAAGCTCCACAACACAATGTTAAAAGTGAATTATTATTATGCTTTTTTCATACTTCACCAGGACGTGGTGAGGGGATTCCTGAGGAATGCACGTGACTCACAAGCCAGCACATCCTTTCAGTATGTGGGAGATAGAGAAGTTAGCAGAGGAGGCTGGGTTGCACTTGGTTGAAGAAGTATATTTCACCACACGGGATTACTAGTGTTATGAAAATAAAAGAGGAGATGGGTATAGAAGCAATGACACCATCCCTGTTGGACAATGCATTACATTCAAATTTTATAAGTGATGATGTCCAGCTATCTCTCTTTGGCTCAATTAGTTATCCTAATCAAGATCTCTTTAAGTGATCATCATTATTAGAGATGATTTCACATCAAGAGCTTTAAAAAATGTAAGGGAAAACGATATTAGAAACAAGAAATTCCTGGTTAATCACGGATCTTATACACTAGATCGAGTAATTGTTATTGATTTAATTGAGGGTCCCAGTATTTATTGAAACTCACTACATATTTAATAATTGTGATTCTTGAAGTCAAAAAATTAAGTAAGCAATTTAAGTCCAAATAGCATTTTTCCTAATAGATCACACCCTGTGTATAAGGTGAGGGGTTCACTTATAAATAATGGGTTCCACTTGCATTAATGATAGATAATTTAACAATGAGTAAAGTTGAGCAAAAGTATAATGAAAAGTATCTTAATCTCATGGTATTGATGGTAACTCCGTTTTACCTGAAATAAAATCTGCATCGCATTGTAGATCAAGGCAGTTGTTCACTCTCTTTTTCCTCCACTTCAGGGAATTAGTTGTGTCACCACCTAATAATATAAGTAGACAAGCGAATCCTATAAAGTTTAATAATACCCTATCTATATAAGATAATAACTACTTATGCAGTAAAATGAAGTTCATTTTAACCACTTATTGTTTGTCATTACATAGTGCCACCACGTATCAGTGGTGACTTGATGTCGCCACAACACCATGACTTTAGAACAGTCATCGAAGTAGTTCAACTTGGGAAGCAGATAATCCCATTTGTGGAATCTTTAGTGAGTCACTTCAACACTTTACACCGGAGGGGAATGAATAAAGACCGCTATTGATTTGCTCTTTGAAACTGCGGTTTCTGGGGGTTAGCTAAATTTCTGGTGGTACGGAAGAATAAGGACAATGAAAAGGATGAGGACAATGAGAAGGAGAAAGGGGAAATGAAAATAGGGAGCAAAAGAAGGGAGGAAATAAAAGAGAAGGAAAGAGGGATAAAGAGCATAAAAGGAGAAAGAGAAGGAAAAAGAGGAAAATTGGGAGGAAGAAGTGGGGAGAAAGAGGAGGAGGAGGAAAAACGAGAGGAAGAATGAGGGAGGAAAAAAAGAAGGATAAGGAGGAAGAGAATGGAAGTGAGGAACATTGGTGAATTGCGAGAAACAGAAACTAAAACAGAATTGGAGAAGGAAAAGGGGAAGGGGAAGAATGAAGGAGAGGGAGAAGGAAGGAGGGGAGAAAAAGCTGAGGAAGAAGGAGAAGACGAAGAAGAAAAGTCACTTGAAAGATCAAAATTTATGATCAATCTCATTTTGCCCTTGAAAGATACAAAAATACTCAGTTTGGCCTCCCGAATAATTAATTTTTCCACATTATCCCCTCAAAGAAATAAAAACGTTACAATGTAATCCACTGTCTTATTTCGATTTGGTCGTCCATCTGTTTTGTACCAAATCAAACAATCAGAAATTACAAAACAGACGGACGACCAAATGAAAACAAAAAAAAGGAAATAAGATAGTGGATCACATTGCAACATTTTTATTAGTTTATAGGGGTAATGTGAAAAAATTAATCATTCATAAGGCAAATTGAGAATTTTTGTATTTTTTAGGGGGAAAAATGAAATTTTTTCCAAAATTTATAACGGCTTTGAGGAATATCAGTGAATTGCGAGAAACAGAAACTAAAACAAAATTGGGGAAGGAAAAGGGGAAGGGGGAGGAGGAGGAGGAGGAGAAAAAACAAAAGGAAGGAGAGGAAGAAGAAGAATGAAGGAGGAGCAGGAGTAGAAAAAGCAAAACAACACTAAGTCAATATTGTAAAGTACTCTTTTGCGATGGGCATACATT